CTTAAAAATTTAACAAATAAAATATAATTAAATAAAAAAATAAATAAATATAGTACCAAACTGCAATAAATAAAATAAACTCATTTTGTTACCTAACATTTTAAAATGGTGTTTAAAATTTGACATCGTCCACAGAATTAGAAAACTACAAGAATCAGAAAACACTATTATCATTATTCAAATTACTCAACTGCAATTGCTCAAACCAAATGATATTCTTCTTTATTTCTATCTACAAAATAAATTAAATGTATATATTTAATAAATAAAATATATAATGAGGTTAAATGGTAAATGACACAAACATAATACCAAATTATAACAAATAAAAGAAACTCATTTTTTTACCTAAAATTTTAAAAAGGTGTTCAAAATTTGACATCGTCCAAAAATCTATGATTAACTGGTATATTGGTTGTAAATCACAATTTGACAAAAAAAAATGTCAAAATTAGAATAAGACAAAATAAGATAGAAAATAGAGAGAGATTTTTAGAAGGGAAATGGATAGATATTGTAAGAAAACTTTGAGACAAAAAGAGATGCAAGGTCCGTGGAGAGAGGGCATAGAGCCCGAAGAGAAGGGAAAGGTGGAGAGGGAGAAAGATTTAAAAACAAATAAAAAAATAGATATTTAAGGAGAGAGTGAGAAATTTAAGGAGATGGATGATTGAGGGGAGAAAAAAATGAGAGAAGAAAGAAATTATTGTTGATGCTTAATTTAAAGACAAAGATTATTGGAGAGATTTAAGGAGGTGGGAACCTTTTGCTTGGATACTTTTGAAAATAAAGACAATTAGTCGAACTATTTTGCCAATTGAACTCGTTTTTAGAAAGTGTTATTTTAGCCCAATCAACATAAGTCGTCCATTTTGTTTAGATGTTTAGATCTAGGCCTTAGATGGATTTTTATCTTTTCAAAATTTTTATTTAAATTTGTTATCATTAGATGAACAATGTTAAACAAGAAAAAAAATTGTTTTGAGTTCATAAAGGCCTAGATCTTGAAATTGACCATATGGATGGTTTAGATTCATTATTGGAGGGGATTCAATTTAACCACATCTAATATGCAAATTCTTTTTCTTTTTTTTTTTGTTTCGAAATTGACTATTGGGATGAAGAGAGGGTATGTGTAATTTTTGGGGTGATATAAATGCTATAAACATGGTTTTTTGGAAATGTAGTTGCATTATATTATTATGCAACCGGTGCATAAAAGTATTCATATATATATATAACACTACGCAATGCCTATAGGCGAAAATGAACAGTGATTTTGCCTATGTTCATTACCGTCCAAAGTTCATCGTACTGTCACAATTGTCCGGTAGTATTTAATTTTCATGTTTTTTTCTACAAATCAGAATAATTTGAAATTTAGAATGTGTGTTCATAAAAAATAATATAATCTAATAAAAATATTAAAAAAAAATCGTAAAACATAAATTGATCAAAATATCCTTGAAAATTTATGGGGGTATTTTGGTCAATTTATATTTTGTAAAATATTTTTTTTTCAAATTTTTATTACATGTGGCTCACTAATATGTACACACGCTCCAAATTTTAGATTATTTCAATTTATAGAAAAAAAATGAAAAAT